TTTAAGGTTCATTGACGTGCTGGCTGATACCCAAACAAGGGATGAGCCGGAGATGTCACTGCCTTGGTCCTTTCACTATTGGCTGCTACTTCCCGGCGGATGTCAGGAGGTGCAATACCAGCTAAACAGTGAAATTTCTCCAGTGGTGTAGGGCACAGACACCCCATGATAATGCGGCATGTCTCATTAAGAGCCACATCCACTGTTTTAGCATGGTGAGATGTGTTCCACACTGGGCATGCATACTCAGCAGCAGAGTAGCATAGCGCAAGGGCAGATGTCTTCACTATGTCTGGTTGTGATCCCCAGGTTGTGCCAGTCAGCAGATCCCCAAGTGTACTTTTTTGACATAACTTTTTTCAGGCCTAGAGACTCAAACCCTCTCTATACTTTCAGCAAAGCCATCCATGAGCACACTGCTCATGGATGGCTTTGCTGAAAGTATAGAGAGGGTTTGAGTCTCTAGGTCTGAAAAAAGTTATGTCAAAAAAGTACACTGGGGGATCTGCTGTGTTATTTAAAAGGTCTGTTGCTATTCCTGGAGACTACATTGCTGAAAAAGAGAAATTCAAATAGGTATGGAGAGACATCCCTTTGGGGAGGTGTCTACCCCAACTTTGAAGCCATTCTGGCAGGCTCTTCTGCCCTCTAAACATGCCTCTAAACTGCATATTTTGAACATCAAAAAAGGGAAATCGCTTTACTTATAATTTGAATCCATTGGTTTATGTTGCAATCCCAGGAGCAAAAGGAAGTAAGCTCAATCCATCTTCTATACCACTTCCATTCAGATATTTACAGATGGTGCCTGGAAATCACCATCACCATGAAGGCATAACCTAGAGTTTTATTTATGGTCCTAACTTATACATATTTTGGAACTACCGTGTATAAATAGAAGTATAGTGTGTAGATCCAGGGAACTCATGCTACCTCTCTATTCTGCCTTGTTCTGTGTCCAATTGTGGGTACCACAATTTAAGGGAGATGTTGACAAGCTCTGGAATGTGTCCGGAGGAGGGTGACTAAAAGGATCAAGGATCTGGAGAACAAACCCTATGAGGAGCGGCTTAAAGAGCTGGGCATGTTTAGAGGGCAGAAGAGAAAGCCGAGAGGAGACATGATTAGGGCCATGTATACATATGTAAAGGAAAGTCATAGGGAGGAGGAGCAAGCTTGTTTTCTTCTGCCCTGGAGACTAGGACACAGAACAATGGCTTCAAACTACAGGACAGGAGATTCCACCTGAATATTAGGAAGAAGTTCCTAACTGTGAGAGCAGTTCAGCAGTGGAACTCTCTGCCCTGGAGTGTGGTGGAGGCTCCTTCTATGGAGGCTTTTAAGCAGAAACTGGATGGCCATCTATCAGGGGTGCTTTGAATGCGGTTTTCCTGCTTCTTGGAAGAATGGGGTTGGACTGGATGGCCCACCAGGTCTCTTCCAACTCTGATTCTATAATCACAACATTACAAAATTCAAAAGCAATATTGACACATACTAAAAACAAGACCATATTTATTGACAGACCTTTATTTTGATAAAATTTGCATTTCAAAATCACTTGCTCCCAACAATTCTCCATGAAAGTACATTTTTTTCTTTCCCGATCTTCATTTCTACAGCTATTTACACCTTGAACTATAACACAAAAGCATGACCTATGTAGGAAAACGTCTTTCTTTCTGTGTACATCTCGACAAGCTATGAAATAACAACATGAAGCTTAAATGCAAATATGTGAAGTTTCTAACAGTAGACAATAGGCTTTTGGGGGGAAATGGGAAAATTAAAATGTTAACATCTTTTACCGAAAAATGATGTCGGCATCGACAAGTTAGGTTTACTAAGAACATCAACTGATTGGATTAAAGAGTGTGTAAATGCTGGTGTGTAGGAATACCACACTGACATACCTCCTTCTGTTACAATGCTACAACCTACATTACTTCACAGTTATGCTGTATCTGAACTCACACACACATTTGCTACCTTTGTGTGTTTTGGTAATATGACAATGGGAAAGCTCACAATTGCTTGCCAATATAAATTTCAACCAAAGCAAGGGGAAAGTCCTGCAAGATGCTGTTTTTCTATGAATTTCTGGAAAAAAGAAGAGACCTGCATCACTAAAAAAGAGAAAAAAATTGATGGGAATAAACTATTTAGAGTATGGTTTTCATAATGCCTTTGGGAAGCCAAGTTAACCATGGTTAACATAAAGAGATTCCTCTGCCTTTATGACAGATTTAGCCAAAACTAAAAATGGGCTTCTTTATCAGACTATTTGAAGATTATTAAAGGAAAACTTAATAGCTTATTTTTTTGACAAACCAGTTTTTGGAGGGTAAGGACTTGATGAGTGATTGTAGAGAAGCAAACAATGTAACTGGGTCGCTGTGAGTTTTCTGGGCTGTATGGTTATGTTCCAGAAGCATTCTCTCGTGACGGCAGGCATCTTCGAAGGCTGTGAGATATACTGGAAACTAGACAAGGGAGGTTTATATATCTGTGGAAGGTCCAGGGTGGGAGAAAGAACTCTTGTCTGTTGGAGACAGAGAAGCCACTGGAATCCACAAGCATGGGGACAATTTCAACAGAAAGGAGGAAACCCTTGCAAAAAATTTCCACTTGAATTTTATCAAACACCTCTTCCGGCTCTAAGATTTGCTGGAATAACAGGTGCAAAGGAGGTATGAACACGCGGAAGTCAGAAGAGAGAGATATGATGGCATTTTTCTGATACTTCACAACTGTATTTTCATGCTTTCCTCTCTCTTGATCATCACTGCAGTATAGACAGTCTATGTCAGGGTACTGTGAATCTGCTCCATTCATAGTGCACTAAAACAGTGGATGTGGCTCTTAATGAGACATGCCGCATTATCACGGGGTGCCTGTGCCCTACACCACTGGAGAAATTACACTGCTTAGCCGGTATTGCACCACCTGACATCCGCCAGGAAGTAGCAGCCAATAGTGAAAGGACCAAGGCAGAGACCTCTCCAGCTCATCCCCTGTTTGGGTATCAGCCAGCACGTCAACGACTTAAATCTAGAAATAGTTTTCTAAGATCTACAGAGACACTCGCTGGAACACCTCAGCAAACAGGAGTCCAAAAGTGGCAGGCTCAAACCCAGAACCTCAACCAATGGCTGATACCAAATGAGAGACTCCCCCCTGGGCACACAGAGGACTGGGCGACTTGGAAGGCGTTGAACAGACTGCGCTCTGGCACCACGAGATGCAGAGACAACCTTAATAAATGGGGCTACAAAGTGGAATCCTCGATATGCGAAATCTACTACTCTGAAGGGAAATTCACTCCTGAAAGAGCTATCATAGAGGAAAGGTTTAGCACCAATCCTGAAGCTTTAGCACCAGTCCTTGTTTCCACAACAAGCCAAATTTCTCAAAATCCAATTATCACAGGGACAGAAAGTAAGGTGAAATCTGCTGAACTGGGACATAGGCACAAAACAAACATTACAGGGGTGTTAACTCTTCCCCTTGCTATCCAAAGCTTTTTTTTTAAAACCCAAATCTTGATGAAACAACCTGGACACAGCATATTATTTACGAACACAGAGATGCTGGACCACTCTAACAACCACCATGTCAGAATACACAGAAAAGCCACTGAAATCCATAAACATGTGGACAATTTCCACAGAAAGGAAGAAACCATGAACATGAACACAGTCTGGCTACCAGTATTAAAAAAAACTCTAAAATCAGGACAGTAAATAAAGAACAACCCTCAAAAAGCAGGGAAATTCCAGACAAGAAACAATCAGGGCCAGATAACGCCTCCCAACAAAGGATTCCCTCAGGCAGTAATCAGCCAGGCTTTGAAGCTACAAGGCTTTGCAATGTTAATCAAGGTGATTAATTGCAAGATTCACACTTGTCTCCAACAGATAAGAGTTCTCTCTGCCACCCTGGATGTTCCATAGACATATAAACCTCCTTTGCCTAGTTTCCAACAGACCTCACAACCTTTGAGGATGCTTACCAAAGATGTGGGAAAAACATCAAGAGAGAATGCTTCTGGAACATGGTCACACAGCCATGAAAGCCTTTGACAACACATTAAACAATGTAACGTTTTTAACAGTCGTCATCAGTCCCAGAAGACAATACTGGGCTATGCAATAAGTGCGGGATATAAATATTGTAATACACAATGGGTCAACTGTTATACACAATGGGTCAACCTGGCTCAGGTTGTTTACGTGTGATGTGTCTTCAAGTCCCCTGTTGACCTATAGCAAATCCATGACTTGTATAGGTTTTCTTAGGCAACTCAGAAATGGTTTCGCCAGTTCCTTCCTCTGAATCCTACCTTACAGCACCTAGTATTCAATGGTGGCCTCTCATCCAAGTGCTAACCAGAACTGATCCTGTTTAGGTCCCAAGTTTAGGTGGATGGGTAGCACTATATGGGCTTAGACCAGACATGGGAAAACTTCAGACCTCCAGGTGTTTTGGACTTCAACTCCCACAATTCCTAACAGCCTACTGGCTATTAGGAATTGTGGGAGTTGAAGCCCCAAAACATCTGGAGGGCCAAAGTTTGCCCATGCCTGGCTTAGACTATCAAATGGCATCATTTAACAGAACTAATAAGGCAGCTGTATGTGTCACTTTCAGCATTTAATTTTTTAAAAAATAAGACAGCTGTATGTGTCACTTTCAGCATTTAATTCACCGAATAGTACGTTTTTAACAGATTCACGTTCCACAAATTACTTTCTGTTGCCTTAAAAATGGGGGCAAGAATCATGCAATTCCTCCAAATGTTGGACTGAAATTTACAGTAGTCCCCATCACTGGCTATGCCAATTAAGGCTGTTGAGAATGGCAGTCCAACATCTGGACTGCTGCTTGCCTGAAATGGGACAACAAACATGCAACAACTGGGCTGCGTAAGGACCACAAAAGTGAATTTTTATCAAACTTCTGGCAGACTGCAGTACATCAGTGTTGTAGCTGTTCACAACTTGGATTCCCCTTTTGCACACTAGAGAGATGGATTTGAAAGACTCTTGATATATGATCTAATCCTACATAGGACAGTCCTTAACTTGTCTCTGAAACCTAAGGAAGACCACTGCAAACCAACATGCATTTCAAGATTGAATCAAAATAGGCAACTCCAGAGGAAACTGAAAATCGTCTGGAAAAGATTTGTTAACCTTTTTAGGGAATAATTGGTATTTTCAGCCCAGAATTTCCACAAATTTTCCAAATTCCCAGGCCACAGATAAAAAAAACCCCTAATAACTTTAAGTAAAGGATTCAATTTTATGTCCTGTATGTAGATCAGTGAAACAGGTCAAACTAACATATATCTGTGTCATTAACGGGACGTCAACAATCAGAAGAGTTGGGGGCAAGGGCCTTTGCTTCAGTTATAAAGCCCAACTAGAGAAGTTTCTTGCCCTTTTCATGCAGCAGAAGCCCCTACTTGCCAAAGGACAAGACAATGCACTCGGATGATTATTTTTGTTTACATTTATGAACTGGATGTACCCTATATATACTCATGTGTAAATCTAGAAACTTTAGTCAAAAATCATCTCCAAAAACCTGGGTTGTCTTATCCACAGGTAATTGAAAGTACCGTGGCTTAATTCTTATCCAAAAGGAAGCATCCCCTTCTCTGAGTAGAATAGCAAAATGTAAAAGATTAGTCCACTCTGGAACAACCTAAAAGATGCACAGACTCCTCTACTCTATCACTGCAAAACCTCTGGCCTTTTCAAATGTCTTGGTAGGAAAATGGTGCTGGCTGACCCCTAAGGTGATGCTGGAGCTTCCCCTTCTCCATGGAATAGTCCTTGATTTATCCACAGGTCCTACGACAATCCATAATTTTGGCCCCCAAACCTGCCCTCGCCTTATACATGAGGTCGGTGGACTTGAGTATATAATATTAAACAGAATTACACAGCAAAAGAATTAGACGCTCCTGCCTGTAATTGAAACCGACTATTTACTCACACTGTATACTTTGTCTGGCAGCCAAGAGCACGCAGGATTGTTTTGCGGCTTTTAAAAATAGACGCCTGCATTTCCTTCTCCTACCATTCTCTTCCTTGCCATTTCACATTCTTGTAGGAAATGTTACCAACTCCAAAACAGAAAAAAAAAAAACTTTCTGCAGTGCAACATCCTGCATTTTAGGTTTCTTTTTGCTGGAAACTCCCCAACTTGGATCAAATACAGTTTTTGGGAGACCTCCCCGATTCTCTGGAGAAAACATCACCCCTCTTTTTAAAGAAGTACCTCTTTCTATAAAGAGACAAAAAAGAAAGGACTTTATCTGGGCCTTCAACACAAAAAAATGATCCTATGCCCATTTGTAGATTCTGTGCTTGTCTGTGGGATTCTACTTATCTTGCTGCTTTTCACTTTTGGGGAAAGTGCCACTCGGCAAAAAGAAAAGGGGGGAGGCAATCCACTGATACCTCCACAACGTTATTTTTTTTCTGTTTGTACTGGACAAAACCCTCGTTTCCATAAGGTTTTGCTGTCAGCCTGTCCCCACCCCGTCCCTCCCCACCAAGGAAGTTCTGCTGCAGGACAAAACTGGAGCACACAAACCAAGGGAAGGAATCTGAAAGAATGCTATCACATGTTTTAAGTACACGGGCAACCACCTTCCCGGACGAGCTCACCACTACCACCACGACGCGTGGCCACATCAACAGGCAAGCAATTGGCATACAGCGGTCAAGCCCTACTGGGTGTTTTTTATTGTCCTGCCTACCTCTCTTGCTTTAGGCCTTATTTTTCTCTGTAATACAGCAGGTAATATTTCAGAGGGTCGGGCAGAGGCAGACTCAAGACCTTCTCCCTCAGCAAGTTGACAGGAGGCTCGGGCTTCAGTTCGGGGATGGTTTTCTCCACCTCTTCCCTGCCCTCCTCCTCCACCTCCTCGCAATGGATATCATCAGAGGGGTTCGAGATCCGGCTGGCAAAGACCTCCTTGTCCAAGAAGACGATAGTTTCCATGCGCCGGCGCCGGACGCGACGCCGCTTAAACCGAGGAGGGTTCCGGAGGCCGTTCCCATTTCGGCCTGCCATTTCCTGGTGCAACAACTTTTTGATGGTGCTGCGGATGGCAATGCGGGCCAGGTCTTGCAGGTTGCGAACCATCACTGGGGCTGAAAAGGCGAAAACAGACATTAGAGCAAGTGTACAAAGGCAGGGAAAAGGCTTATTGACCTTTTAATAAATGCACAGCTAGTCTAAGGACTTTGTCTACCCTGGCCCTGGGTGTCTAAACAACATCTGGGAATGTTTAGTCCTTATCACAGCGGATTTAACTGGTTTAACTCCATGTTACATAAAGTTGATGAATGCTCTGCAATTTCGGCAAAACTTCCGGTGAACAACTGGATATTACAAGCAGTTGCAAAGTGAATCAGTCTGCTGTCCATCTGGTCCATCTTTGTCATCCCTTTTCCTGTGCTCAGCAGTGTAATAACAACAACAGAGGCTGGATGGCCATCTGTCAGGGGTGATTTGAATGCAATATTCCTGCTTCTTGGCAGGGGGTTAGACTGGATGACCCATGAGGTCTCTTCCAACTCGTTGATTCTATGATTCTATGATTCTATAACAATAATAATACACTTCGGAAGTGTTCGACTTGCCAGCATATATATCTCATTTGCTGTGTCACACTGTGTTTTTGTAAAATAACTTTCATAGAATCATAGAGTTGGAAGAGACCTCATGGGCCATCCAGTCCAACCCCATTCTGCCAAGAAGCAGGAATATTGCATTCAAATCACCCCTGACAGATGGCCATCCAGCCTCTGTTTAAAAGCTTCCAAAGAAGGAGCCTCCACCACACTCCGGGGCAGAGAGTTCCACTGCTGAACGGCTCTCACAGGCAGGAAGTTCTTCCTCATGTTCAGATGGAATCTCCTCTCTTGTAGTTTGAAGCCATTGTTCCGCGTCCTAGTCTCCAAGGAAGCAGAAAACAAGCTTGCTCCCTCCTCCCTGTGGCTTCCTCTCACATATTTATACATGGCTATCATATCTCCTCTCAGCCTTCTCTTCTTCAGGCTAAACATGCCCAGCTCCTTAAGCCGCTTCTCATAGGGCTTGTTCTCCAGATCCTTGATCATTTTAGTTGCCCTCCTCTGGACACATTCCAGCTTGTCAATATCTCTCTTGAAGCTGTAATGTTTCCAGAGGAGGGCGACTGAAATGATCAAGGGTCTGGAGAACAAGCCCTATGAGGAGTGGCTTAAGGAGCTGGGCATGTTTAGCCTGAAGAAGAGAAGGCGGAGAAGAGTTATAATATATGAGATATGACTTTATTTTTGTACCCTGCCGCCATCTCCCCAAAGGGACTCGGGGTGGCTTACATATGTCACAAATTGCCTAAAACAATGCATAAAATGAACACACCGTACAATATCAAAAGTAAAACCAATAGCATGTAAAACAGCAATTTAAAACTGAGAACAATGCCCAATAACTTATGGTGACAAATGCCGTAAAACACGGCACAACTGTAAACAAGACAAGGGAATGGGATAGTGCAAATTGTAGCTAAGAAACAAGGGCATGGGATGAAAGTGCAGTGCTGTGTAGGAGAAAGGGGACAGGGTCCGACCTGTGTTGGCACCCATCCTTGCCATGGCATGTGCCCACAGAACTCTGGAGAGCACCTGGAGATGGATGGATGCCTTTGTTGATGTTAGCAAAAATGATAACTGAGAAGGAGGGTTTGTTCACATCAGCAGAAGTCTGTGGCCATCCAAGAGTGGTGATGAGGATGGAAAGGTATGGAAATCATCTAGTGGGGCTGAGTTTTGGCCCAGCTGGACTCCACCCTGCAGCCATTGCAGGATGGATATGGCCTATGCGGATGCTTCTGGAGCTGTCCAGAGTATTGTTATTCTGGAAAGACCCAGATTTTGTGTTATGTGTACATAAGCCCTTGGAGAAAAGAATATCTTATCAAGGTATCTGGCAGGAATAATAAGGTCTACACTTCAGGTCTGCACCGGGATTGTGGCGCAGCTGGCTGGCTGAGTGTCAGCTGCATTAAGATCACTCTGACCAAAAGGTCATGAGTTTGAAGCCAGCCTGGGTTGGAGTGGGCTTCCAACCAATTGTGTGTAGCCTGTTGTTGACCTTTGCAGCCCGAAAGACAGTTGCATCTGTCAAGCAGGAAAATTAGGTACCACCTTGAAGTGTGGGAAGGCTAAATTAACTAATTTATGAGGCCATAAAAAGACTCCAGCAAAGCACTTCAGCAAAAAGCATGCGGGGAATGCGGAAGTACTTCATCAGTGTTGCAGATGGACGATGAAAGCGACAGCTCCCCTGGCAGCCAGAGAAAATTAAATAGCCTCTGTGTATGTCTGTATACATTGTATGTCAAAATTGGCATTGAATGTTTGCCATATATGTGTTCATTGTAATCCGCCCTGAGTCTCCTGCAGGGTGAGAAAGGCGGAATATAAATACTGTAAACAAATAAATAAATAAATTCAGACAAGTGAAAACAGTTAATCTCTGGGCCACCTTCTATTTCAAGGCAGGTTGAAGCAACATCCACTGTGTAATCAAAGCTTTGTGACAGACACAACTGATGTGTTGTCATTGTAGGCAAACTAACTTTGCAGACGAGAGTAAACAATTCCAGACAGGAAACAATCAGGGCCAGCTAACGCCTCCCAACAAAGGATTTCCCCAGACAGGAGGCAGCTAGACTTTGAAGCTGCAAGGCCATTCAATGCTAAACAAGGTAGCCAATTTCAACATTCACATTTGCCTCCAACAGACAAGAGTTATTTCTCCCATCCTGGACATTCCACAGATATATAAATCCCACATGCCTAGTTTCCAACAGACCTCACAACCTCTTGTCGACCTTTGCAACCCAAAAGACAGTTGTATCTGTCAAGTAGGAACATTAGGTACCACCTTAAAGTGTGGGGAGGCTAAATTAATTAATTTATGAGACCATAAAAAAGACTCCAGCAAAGCACTCCAGCAAAAAAGCATGCGGGGAATGCGGAAGAACTTCATCAGTGTCGCAGATGGACGATGAAAGCGACAGCTCCCCTGGCGGCCAGAAAAAGTTAAATAGCCTCTGTGTATGTCTGTATATGTTGTATGTCAAAATTGGCATTGAATGTTTGCCATATATGTGTACACTGTAATCCGCCCTGAGTCCCCTGCGGGGTGAGAAGGGCGGAATATAAATGCTGCAAATAAATAAATAAATAAATCTGAGGATGCCTGCCATAGATGTGGGTGAAATGTCAGGAGATAATGCTTCTTGAACATGGTCATACAGCCGGGAAAACTCACAACAATCCAGAATGAAAAATGTCAGGGAATGGTTCCCACGGATCATCCCAATGATTACAACAGCGAAGTAAACAGAACAGGTATCTACAGAAGTGGCAAACTTACGCAAGTGAACAAGTTTTGTCTTTCCCGAATCCGCATGGTTGGGCTGAATTAGAGGAGCAAATGAAACAGCCAAGATCTTCTTCGTCTCCCAGGCTGATGGGCCAGTTCGAGTTATCTTAGTCAGCTGTGTTCAAAGAACAGAAACAGAACATAAAGTGTTGCATGCCACAGAGGACAGCAGGAAGAAAAAGATGATCTATTTTAGCTTTAATAGGTCAGCCTCTTCCTTTTCCACCACACTTTGGAAATGCAATAGTAACATTAATCTTGGCTCTAAACAAATCTGGAAACAAAGATCTATTGGCTGGTAGGGCTTGTCCTTGCAATGTTGCTGCAAAGCAGCAGAAAAGGGAAGGAACAAAGCCTGCGGGTCAGATGCAGTAAGTGGTCAACTCTGCAGAAAAGGAAGAGTTCAGACAAAGCCTAAACAAAACAAAAAACCATCAAGGAAGGGGTCCAATATAGAAACAACCCAATTTTGCAATGACCTTGAGCTGCTTGATATATCTATAATTAGGGATAATAATGCAGGGGGGAAAAGTACACACTGGGGAAAAACAACCCAGTCTATTGTGGTACAAGATTGCCTAACACAGAGAATATAATCTGAGCAAGCAAGGTATAACTTATGAATGCTTATGTGCTATTTGAACTTGCTTATTCCAAAATGCTATTCTTAGTAATAAGTCACACTTATCCATAAAGTAATAGTTAAATAACCAAGTAAGGCAAAGGTTTCCCCTGACATTAAGTCTAGTTGTGTTTGACTTTGGGGGAGGGGGGGGGGGATGATCATCTCAATTTCTAAGCTGAAGAGCTGGCATTGTCCATAGACACCTCCAAGGTCATGTGGCTATGATTACTGCATGGGGCACCATTGCCTTCCTGCAGAAGCGTTACCTATCGATCTACTCACATTTGCATGCTTTCAAACTGCTAGGTTGGCAGAAGTTGGGCCTAACAGTCAGAGCCCACCCTGCTTCCCCAGAATCAAACTACCAACCCTTTAGTCAACAAGTTCAGCAGCTGAGCATTTTAACCTGCTTCACCATCAGGGGGCCACAAATATTTAAGTACATATTAATTATTCAAATAAGTATTTAAATAGTGAAAATCCACAACTAACTAGGTTTTACAGGACTAGTTATGTGTTTATATACTATATTAGTGGAAGACCTGTGCAATCTCAGTCAAGTTGGGAAATGAATGGGGTGATCCATTCCCTTTCTCCCAGGCCCTTTGTGGCCCATAACTCGTTTCAGGGCAACAACCAGAGCTGCTAACAAGTTTGCTTCTTTTATAAAACAACTGTTGTCATACCGAGAAGAATAATTTTACTTTCTTATTGGAATAAAACAACTTTTTCATGATGGCACCCCATTAGAAATGTCTGCCTGCCTGCCTATCCGTCCACACTGACCACTTATCAGTTTCAAACTGGTATAGAAAAAAGTGGTTTCATGGTGCAGATGATTACCTAGGAAAACCTGGAACCAGTTTGAGGCCCAGATTGTGATTACACAAACCAAAGAACACCAATGCACATTAAGGGTTTTCTTTTGCTTTTGTGGGCATTTGTTGTCCAGACAACGCCGTTTCAAAGCTACCTTCAAATTACATGACATGAACAGCATAGATGAGGCCTAATACACCATTTTCCATTTAATTTGATTATCTTCCATTTCAGCATATGCTATAGACCAGGGGTCCTCAAACTAAGGCCCGGGGGCCGGATGCGGCCCTCCAAGGTCATTTACCCGGCCCTCGCTCAGGGTCAACCTAAGTCTGAAATGACTTGAAAGCACACAACAACAACAATCCTATCTCATCAGCCATGCTTTTCTAAAATTATAATCTGGCCCTCCAACAGTGTGAGGGACCGTGACCTGGCCCTCTGTTTAAAAAGTTTGAGGACCCCTGCTATAGACTATCTTCATTTACAAACCCTTATGTATTTATGTATGTATGTATGTATGTATGTATGTATGTATGTATTTATTTATTTATAGTATTTATATTCCAACCTTCTCACCCTGAAGGGGACTCGGGGCGGATCACTGAACACATATATGGCAAACATTCAATGACAAGACAGGCAACAGATAGAGGTATATATATATAGGCTTTTTCTCATCATTCGGCATCATCATTGGAGACTGTGCTCAGTGTGTATGCTGTCACTCCATCTCATGTGGAAGAGCTTAGTTTGTTTGTAAACTTCCTCCTTTTTCTGATCGAAACAACACACCTAAATACATCTCTGCTTTAATGTGGTTCCTATTTATCTACTCACATTCTGCTAGGTAGGCAGAAGCTGGGCTAAAGGTCAGGAGCTCACCCTGACCCGGGCTCTGAACTGTCAATCTTTTGGTTGGCACCGGGATTGTGGCGCAGCTGGCTGAGTGTCAGCTGCATTAAGATCACTCTGACCAAAAGGTCATGAGTTCGAAGCCAGCCCGGGTTGGAGTGGGCTTCCAACCAATGGTGTAGCCTGTTGTCGACCTTTGCAACCCGAAAGTCAGTTGCATCTGTCAAGTAGGAACATTAGGTACCACCTTAAAGTGTGGGGAGGCTAAATTAACTGATTTATGAGGCCATAAAAAAGACTCCAGCAAAGCACTCCAGCAAAAAAAGCATGCGGGGAATGCGGAAGTACTTCATCAGTGTTGCAGATGGACGATGAAAGCGACAGCTCCCCTGGAGGCCAGAAAAAGTTAAATAGCCTCTGTCTATGTCTGTATATGTTGTATGTCAAAATTGGCATTGCATGTTTGTCATATATGTGTACACTGTAAACCGCTCTGAGTCCCCTGAGGGGTGAGAAGGGCGGAATGTAAATGCTGTAAGCAAATAAATAATAAATATTGCAGCTTGTTGATTAACCTGCTGTGCTAGAGCCCAGTGGATGAACGTAGACATTGCCCGTGAAAGCTCTTGCAACAGGAGATCTGTTGGCCTTTAAGATATTACAGCACTTGCCCTATTTTGTAGTCACAGAAGAAAATGTTTCAACTGTTTATGGAGTTGGCAGAGAACCACAATAATCAAAGTAAATTTACATGCAAAGGACCCCCATCCCTCCAACTAACCTTCTCCTCCAAAGGCATGACAAGAATCCCACCAACTTTCAACAAATTCTTCATGTAATCTTCATGCTCCTTCTGGACCCCGGCCCCGCAATACACGCGGTCATATTGAGAGCAGTCTGGGGAGATCTCTAAGCAGTTCCCCGTGACAAAGGAAGGCTCACAGAATTCAAACCTCAGGGGGAAGAAAAAAAAAAGGCTGCTTCTGAATAAAACTTCTACATGACACAAATATTCAACAGGCTGAGCATTCCTCAAAACAAAAAGGTTCTTTAAACACTACACTGTTATAGTGCTATCTCCCATTTTAACTGTCATGGCTACATCCTATGGAATTCTGTGATTTGGAGTTTAAGGAGGAGCATTTAGGATTCCTAAACAGAAAGAACTTGGGGCACACTAAACTTCAGACTCCAAAATTTCACATAAAGCCTGTTAGGACAGTGTAGATGCATGCACTGTTGCCACAACAGTTTAAGTGAAATATAGTGGTGTAACACTGTAGTTTCCAACTTCAGACTCCAAAATTTCATATAAAGCATGCATTTGCACTGTAGAATTAATACAGTTTGACACCATATTGACTGCTACGACAGTGTAGATGCATGCACTGTTGCAACAGTGGTTTAGGTGAAATATAGTGGAGTAACACTGTAGTTTCCAACTTCGGACTCCAAAATTTCATATAAAGCATGCATTTGCACTGTAGAATTAATACAGTTTGACACCACATTGACTGCTACGACAGTGTAGATGCATGCACTGTTGCAAGTGGTTTAGGTGAAATATAGTGGAGTAACACTGCAGTTTCCTTTTCCATTGCACAATTACAGAGCTTTGATTCCGCCTTAATTGCTATGACAACATTTTACAGAATCCTGGGATTTGCAGTTTTGGTGAGGATATTTAGAACCATAGAGGTGGAAGATAACACAAGATAACACAAGGGTAACCTTATTCACCTTCTGCCACTTAGGAAGACACATCTGATGCACTCATGAAAGATGCCCATCCAACTTCTATTTAATAAAGTCCAAAGGTGGAGAGTCCACCACACTCTGAGACAGTTTTTTCTGTTGACAAATAGTTCCTAGTCAATAAGCTCTTTCAAAGATTTAGATGGAATCTCTCTCTCTTTCTTTTATAATTTGAGTCCATTGGTTTGTGTTCTAGGACTTGTATCAGATGAGGTTGATAAAGTGCAATTATAGCAAGCTAAAAGCACCTTTAGTTGGGGGTTATTGCACAATGTTGTGTTTGTCCTGTAGCTACATTGTGCTTGAATTAGGACTGGTTTTTTTTTTCACTGATGAGAAAACTGCATCAATGAATGCAATATCATTGTTGTTCCGCTACTCTCCCTTGTGAAATATCTTACTCCTGCTGCAGTTCCAAAAATGTGAAGCAGAGAGTTTCTCATGGGAACACCGACATTTCCTGATTGCACATTTGTGGCAAAATAGAAAAAAAAATACACAGCCCACCAGTGCTGGGTAGAGCAAACACAGGCTGGAAGTGAGGCTATGTGGATGACTGGTTCCAGGAATTTACTTTTCCAAAGTACCAGCATAGCACAGCTGCTGCAAGATGTGAAAGTAGTAATTCCAACAACAGTATGTGTCAGAAATATTAAAAATTAATTACAGTATATTCTGGCCTATAAGACTACTTTTTAACCCAAGAAAATCTTCTCAAAAGTCAGGGGTCGTCTTATACGCGGGTGTAGTCTTATGCATGGGCATTGTCTTAACTCTATATTTTAACTGGAAAAGTTGGGGGTCGTCTTATACGCCCAGTCGTCTTATATGCCGGAATATACGGTAGGTATTTTTAATTACAAAATGCAAGTGAAGCACTGAAAGGGTTAAATGGATACAATGACTCAGCAAAAGCTGCAGTTCAATAGAAGCAGGTGTGCCTGTAGCTTGGTAGCTCTCATTCTGAGGGGGACCTCAGTGTTAGCAGACCTCAGTATGATAGGCCTCATTCTGAGGTAACCCTCAGTGTGAGAGGTCTCTGTGGGAGAAGGGCCTCAGCGTATTAGTAGGAGACCCCGGTGGCGCAGTGGGTTAAACCCCTGTGCCGGCAGGACTGAAGACCGACAGTCGCAGGTTCGAATCCGGGGAGGCGGATGAGCTCCCTCTATCAGCTCCAGCTCCTCATGTGGGGACATGAGAGAAGCCTCCCACAAGGATGATAAAACATCAAAATTATCCGGGCGTCTCCTGGGCAACGTCCTTGCATCAGTCTTTAGGAGGAGCCTGAAAACGTGGTTGTTCCAGTGTGCCTTCCCAGAATAAGGAAAACTCTTAGCAATATGTCCTCAACTGCACTTTAATATTGATTTAGGATTGTCTGCGTGCCCTCATCTTTCCTTAAAAACCCTATCCTAGTTTACCCTACCCTAGTTTGCCCATCATTTTAAATTTTAATTATTACATTTGGCCCGGCTATAGGTTTTTAAATGCTGTATGTTATTGCTATTGTTTATTGCTTATTGTGTATTTTTTGTTTTTGAGTTTTATTTTAACTGTTTTGTATTGATTATTTGTTATTGCTTTTGTTTATTGATGTGCTGTGGGCTTGGCCTCATGTAAGCCGCACCGAGTCCCTTGGGGAGATGGTAGCAGGGTACAAATAAAGTTTTTTTAAAATTATTATTATTATTATTATTATTATTGCAGACAGCCAATTCTCTCACACCAGAAGCGATTTGCAGTTTCTCAGGTCGCTCCTGACACGACAAAAAATAAAATAAAATAAATGTGTTAGTAGGCCTCAGTATGAGAAGACCTCAGTGTTAGTTCCCCTCAGTATAGAAGAGGCGTCAGTCTGAGAGCCCTCGGTATGAGAAGGATTCATATGTGAAGCTCCAGTGTGTGAAGGCTGATGTGTGTAAAAAGCCACTGTGCGAAACTCCTGTGTAACTTTAGTGTGAGAAGAGGCTCTGTGAGAGCGAAGCTGTTTATCTGCATAAGAAAGAAGCCCAGCGTGGAAGCAAAGAAGGAAGTATAAAGAGCTTTGTTCATGTTATGGAAACCTTGTTCTTGTAAATAGTGCAACCATATTATTTTGCTAGGAAGAAAAGCCTCAGATGGAAAAGATAACATTGGTCTGTGTATTTAATAAGTTACTCTGCTGTGCATTTATGAGGAGCGTCTTTAGTTAATAAATCCACTCACCCAACAATATGTCCCCCAATTGCTTAAACAATGCAAATGTCACAAGAGAATAGTCTAGTGTGATAAAGTTCCTAGTCACTGGAGCAGCAAAAAAGAAGTTCATTCCATTTTTCACATGGCATTCCTTTCAAACATTTAAAGATGACTGCCATGTCACCTTTCAGTCTTCTTTTGTTCAAGTCACACAGATCCAGCTCTCTAAATTGTTCCTCGATAAGGCTTGGTTTCCAGACCTTTGATCATCTTGCCCACCCTTTTCTTTTGGGAAACATTCCAGTTTGTCAATCATTCTCACCAATGAATACAAGAATCACCAAACTCCAAATCCCATAATTCCAAAATATGATCAAAGCACAATTCTGGCACTGTAATTGTGCAGCGTGAAAGATCACTAGTCAACTATGTAACAACAGAAGAAAGTGAGTTTCTCTTTCAAATTTTCAGCAGCTAACACCACAAATGTCAACATTTTATGCCACAATTAATGATGACCACCCAAAGTCAAAAATCAGTCTTGGAAGTCTGCAGTAATGCAAATACACCTAGTTTCCTGATCTTACTTGTCAAAGCTGTCACTTGTTCTGATGAAGAAGTCCAGCTTCTGCTTTGCATATTCTATAACATCCGAGTGAAGCTCCACACCATGATTAACGCCAAAAGGACCTGGAGAGTCAAGAAATGCAAAGGTAAATGCTTCAAAGGTAACTAGATAAAGAGTGAGTGCAATTGGTTAATCTCAGCTTGAAATAGGATCTGAGAAGATGTGTTGTCAAAGGCTTTTGTGGCTGGAATCATTGGATTGCTGTGAGTTTTCCAGGCTGCATGGCCATGTTCCAGAAGCATTCTCTCCTGACGTTTCACCCACATCTATGGCAGGCATCCTCAGAAGTTGTGAAGATTATTGGAAACTAGGCAAGTGGGGTTTATATATCTGTAGAATCTCCAGGGTGGAAGAAAGAATTCTTGTCTGCTTGAGGCAAGGATGAATGTTGCAACTGATCAACTTGATTACCATTGAATAGCCTTGCAGCTTCAAGGCTTGCCTGCCCCCTGCCTAAGGGAATCCTTTGTTGGGAGGTGATAGTTTCTGACCCTGATTTTTCTTGTCTGGAGTTCATTTCAGACTACATAGAGAATCCATTGAAATCCACAAACATGTGGACAATTTCAACAGAAAGGAGGAAACTATGAAAATGAACAAAATTTGGCTACCAGTATTTTAAAAAACCTTAAAATCAGAACAGTGAATAAATAAAGAGCAACACTCAAAAACAGGAGAATTCCAGGCCAGAAACAATCAGGGCCAGCTAATCACCTCCCAACAAAGGATTCCCCCAGGGTGAGACCCATTTTAACAAGGACTCTGGGGAAGCTGTTTTACCTAAAAATGACAAACAAGGAGGTGAGAAGGTTCTACCTAGAGGAAAATCAGGACTCAAGTGTAAGACAGTGGCTCGAACAGATGGCTAATAAGTACAGATATGTGAAAATGCTTTCCCACCATGCTAACAGATGCTGCCAGTGGAGTGAAGACAGTACTCCTTATGATTAATGGATTCAGTGATGGGCAAGAATGGCCCAGTCAAGCAAAAAGGTTTGCAAATCCATACACCCTGGGAACTGCTCCAGAAATGTCATGTGAATCCAAAAGTGCTGGCAGCATTGGCACTGTTTTCGATACCTCCGTGCCATTTAACAGTTGAATGCACGGCCACATTTCAATTATGCACAAACAGGAAAATGAATAAGAGCCAACGTATAATAGTAGTGACAATGGTCTTAGGTTGAGAATGCTCAGCTTGAAATTCCTGTTTATTAAAAATATTTGAAAACCTTTGGTCTGTGTATCTTAATTTCTTTCTCTCTCACACACAAAGGTGCTATCATCACAATAGTGGGAGAAGCATCCATACTCCTAGTGTCCTACTGGGCTAAAATTGAAGTATATATGTAAAACCTTCTACTTAAATAAAAGGTGGTAGGTCAAGGAATCTTTAAGAAAAGTCTATTGAAGTTTGTTTGGATTGCTGCAATGTGCTCTATGTGGGATTGCCTTTGAAAAGTGCTTGGGCACTTCAGTTGGGCCAAATATGGTGGCAGCCAAATTGTTAAATGGGGTTGGAAACAGGGAGGATACAACTCCAATGGTTATTTCCAGCCACAACTCAAAATTCTGGCTTTGACATAAAAGTATTTGTATGTAGCTTGTAAAACACATTTCAGTATTTTTGATGTTTTAATATACAGCCTTTATATTTATACTTTTGTTCTTATTTTTGTATTGTTTTAATATGTTGTCAGCTGTCTTGTGTCCCATGATTAAGAGACAGGATATAAATGAATAAATGAATAAATAATACTGGACTAGTAACTGAAGACTTAATTGCCGATTGAAATACAGTTAGTCCTCCACAAGCACTGGAGTTAGGGGCATAGGACCTCCATGGAAGTGAAAACTACTAATTCTTTTTTGCTTGACAGAACAACTTTCTAGTAATCTCTAGGGTCGCCAGCATGACTCTACGGTGAACTTTGACCAGAAATTGACCTCAGAATCATACTAAAGGACCAATACATTCCTAGAGAGATGTTTTCTCAAGGAATATCTAGGTCTAGCCCAATTGTCTGCAACTATGACACAGCACAGCACTTTCATCCCATGCCCTTGTTCCTTAGCTACAACTTGCACTACTCCTTTCCCTTCTTGTTTACAGTTGGCCATGTTTTTACAACTGTTAGCACTATAGGTTATTGGATGATGTTCTGAGTTCAAATTGTTGTTTTATATACTACTGGTTTTATTTTGTATTGTAGTGTGTGTTTATTTTATGCATTGTTTTAGGCACTTTGTGCCATATAGAATCATTGAGTAGGAGGAGACCTCGTGGGCCATCGTCCAACCCCCTTCCAAGGAGCAGGAATACTGCATTCAAAGCACCCCTGACAGATGGCCATCCAGCCTCTGTTTAAAAGCTTCCAAAGAAGGAGCCTCCACCACACTCTGTGGCAGAGAGTTCCACTGCTAAATGGCTGTCACAGTCAGGAAGTTCTTCCTAATGTTCAGGTGGAATCTCCTTTCCTGTAGTTTGATGCCATTGTTCCATGTCCTAGTCTCCAGGGCAGCAGAAAACAAGTTTGCTCCCTCCTCGCTTTGACTTCCCCTCACATAACTATACAGTTGGGGAAAAACTGAAGTTTGCTAGGGAGCATTTGGATGATCCAGAAGAGTATTGGTGGAATGTAATATGATTAGATGAAACCAAAGTAGAACTGTTTGGCATGGCCATCATGTCTCCTCTCAGCCTTCTGCAAGCTGTCCCAAGTCCCTTTGGTGAGGTACAAAAATCAGGCAATAGTAGTAGTAGTTGTTGTTGTTATCTTCTGGCGTGTCTCTATGGCCAACCTCTGGTGAAAACTGGCAATGGAGCTGAACTGGGGATCTAGAAATTTCTTGAGATATTGTTTTAACCAATTCATGAATAATCTAATTGGCAAAAGCAAACCCACAAATGTGGCGAGCCAACTATACCACTGATTTATTAAATTACTTTTTCTGGTTTATGTTTAATCAGTTTAAAGCAGGGGTCCTCAAACTAAGGCCTGGGGGCCAGATGCAGCCCTCCAAGGTCATTTACCTGGCCCTCACTTAGGATCAACCTATCTATAACGACTCAAAAGCACACAACAACAACAACAACAACAATCCTATCTCATCAGCCAAAAGAAGACCCACACTTCCCATTGAAATACTAATAAATTTATATTTGTTAAGATTGTTCTTCATTTTAATTATTGTATTGTTTTTATTTATTTATTTTTTTGCACTAAAAATAAGATATGTACATAAGAATTCATTCATGTTTTTTTCAAATTATAGTCCGGCCCTCCAACAGTTTGAGGGACTATGACCTGGCTCTCTGTTTAAAAAGTTTGAGGACCCCTGCTTTAAAGTGTGCTGTAATTTTTTCTTTAGGCTGCAAAGGAATCATAATCATGATCACTATTCAGTCTCTTCCTGTTCCCAACAAGAATGGAATCAGAAATAAGGCTGTGTTCCTGATGGAGTATTTTCTCGTTTAAACTCTTAAATGGGTCTCAGACTCTGAAACAGCATAATGGTATTGTTATTACTGTTATGGAAAACTGATATTAAGGGAAGTTGTTTTGTTATTACAGTTATCAAAGAGGCTTGGAGAAGTTGTCCCAGACACATAAGCACCCACGGTCTATAGAAAGTTGCATTTATTCCAAACCGTATGGTCTTTCCATATACACATGGATATTCATTGATTTGTAGGGTACTGATCACAGTAGAGTGTTATGGCTGTGGTGTTACATAAACTATGAGTAGCCTGGTATAGGCCCGATGCATTATCAACACAGGGAAGTGTATATTTTGCAAACTTTTGATCTGCATTGCTAATTTAGCTGATAAGAAGGCTCACTTACCCAAGATAAGGCCAACCATGGAACTCAGGTAGCCGGTGCCACTTCCCAGATTCAAGAAGGAAAGCCCTGGCTGCAAATCCAGAGCTTCCATGACTTCCGAGTAGATGCAAGGAGCAGAGAGGTGAATGTTCCCATGCTTCCAAGCCAAGTCTTTGTAAGCGTTGTCCTTGAACTCTTCAAGGTAATAGTCTGCTCGATCCACAGCCCGGAAGGCCTGCTCTACCAGCTCAGTCCGGATGTATTGAGCCTCTTTCAGATTGTCAATTAATTCATCGTTGTCCTCTCCGGCGCTCACGGCACCTCCCATGGTTCACACAGATTCAGAAATTAACTCTCGATAGCTGGAGAAGTTGGGAAAGAGGGTGGAAAAAAGAAATTAATCTATGTTAAGAGTTCAGAAGACATTAGTTGCATGCATGGCACATTCTACACACAAGAAAAAAATGGGGGTGAAAATAATTCTCTACCTACAGAGAATGCCAGTTGCAGTTCTCTTTTGTTCCTTTGAGAGCTGCTTTTCTCAGATGCTGCTATACATGGAAACACAGGTTCCAGTTGGCTGTTACACATTGCATTTTCTCCCATACAGAGAAGCCTGTTCAGCTGTGGTCAGCATTCATTGCAAAAAAGCAGCACTTGCTTTGAAATTTTGAAAATATCCCCTTGAATAGGAAGAAAGGGAAATCTCAGGCCAAACAGCCATACAGAATGAACCATCTGGTTCCTGGAGGTTCTTCATGACTTGCCTCCAGATTGCTTTTTGTCTAACCCCAACCTCCTGTTCTTCTTCTAAGTGTCAATGGGTATCAAAAATGAGTCTTTTAAGAGATATATCTTCTGAATTTAAAAATTAGGAATTTCTAAGCTAGACTTTACAGCCAAGAAAATAAATGATTCTATTTCTGCTAACTGAAGAGACAAACCAATTCAAACTGGAGAGGAGGAAAAATACTTTTGTTTTCATCTGTATCTTCTGTGTTCTCTTCTGTATTATACAAGTGGAGTTTGCTAGAGGGAAAACTGTGATTCAGAGCCCCTTAACAAGTGAGATAGTCTCCCACATAAGTCTTCCTTGGCATTTCAGGAGATATTATTTGAGATAATCAGCATTGAACATGACTTGACAGACATGTAGGAAGATGCAAGACCGACAGTGATAGTGGAAAAATGTGCCAGACTTTGGAGATACGCAAGTATGCATGATTTACATATATTTATAATTTTTAAATATTATATACAGGCAGTCCTCAAGTTAAAAACCTCTTACTTACAAGTTATAGTTACAAATGGGGTGAGACAACAGGAAATGAGAAAAATCTACCCCTCGGAAGGGAAATTCACTCCTGTGAGAGTTATCCTGGGGAAAAAGTATCTCCATTGAAGCTTTATCTCAGATCCTTGTTTCCACAATAAGCAAGATTTTTCAAACTCCAATGGTCATAGGGACAGAAAGTGAGTAAAATCTTCTGAACTGGGGCACAGACCGCATAACAAACACCACCAGGGGTAGCCCTTCCCTATGCTACCAAAGTTAAAGAAAGTATATATTTGGCTAGAGTTACACTTTGAAAAGTACCTGTTTTGACTTAACAACAACACTAACACTTTATTTACATTCCACTCTATCTCCCCGAGGGGACTCTGAGCAGATTACAACATACAATGCCTTTAATACAATGGAATAACAATGACATACAAATACACAGAACAAAGGTAAAGGCCTCCCCCTTCATCTCCAGCTTTCTGGAGGTGGTGCTAAACTCTGGCCATGGGGAGGTGACCTTGTTCCATTTCCAAGCCAAGGAGCCTGTTATCCACAGACACCTCTTGGTTGTGTTATTGGTACAGCTGCACGGGCGCTTTTATTGCCTTCCCACCAAAGCGGTATCTATTGATCTACTCATATTCCCATGTGTTCAAACTACCAGGATGGCAGGAGCTAGGGCTAACAGTGGGAGCTCGTCCCAACCCGCAGATTTGAAGTGCCAACCTTGAGATCAGCAGATTCAACAGCTCAATGGTTTAACCTACTGCACCACACGGTTTGTTCTTAAATTCAGCTTAAGAACAAACCTACAGAACCTATCTTGTTCATAACTTAGTGGGCCAAAACTGGCATATGTTTGAAGAAAAAATGCTCACCAAAAGCCCAAGGTGTGCTAAAGGAGATCCCTGAATTCCAGTTTTAAAAACAATTGAAAATTCCAGTATTTGTCAAGAAAGGTAGGTCTTTGAAATGAAGTTTAAGACATTGCTATAAAGTTAATATACAGGGAGAGATTATTCCAGTTTGTTGTTGTATGTCTTCAAGTCATTTCCAACTAAGACAAACATATCAGTGAGGTGTTATTTTTTTTGTGCCAGATTTGTTCAGAAGAGGGTTAGCTTTGCCTTCTTCTGAGACTGAGAGAATGAGACATACCCAAAGTTATCCCATGGGCTTCCCATGGACTTTGGGAACCCTTGTCTCCAGGTGTCTCTTCAATAGTCCAACTCACTACGCTGCAATCTCACTGCAACAACTGCTTCACAAATATAGCACACAACCGTCTTTAAACAACACCATTTCTTTTTGACAAGCCAAATTTTAAGGTCAAGGAATTAGGAATGCTGAAAAGCTGTCTGGCTCCTCTGTTAACATTCCACATAGGAAGAACACAGGGTGATTTTTGAAAAATTACAGCTTTGCTCTGCTGGCAAAAAGTGCAGAAACAGCAGATTCTGTGTTTGTGCATGGTTTAGAATGTTCTGCCTCGGCTTCATTGTTGCATATATTCAGCACAAACAACATCCCAGCTTTCCACAGGAAAAAAAAAATGTTAAGAACAAAAAACCAGATGGTACTGCAAACTCTGGACAAGGAATACTTAGTATAAATCTGAATCATTAGGTTGATACAATATGTTAGCATTTAACTTTTGATCAGGAAGGCCGTGATGGTTGATAGTACAAAAATCAAACTCCTTTCTTAGGGAAGGCATATTCAGAGGTGGCTTTGTTAGTCCCTTCCTCTGAAATGTAGACTAGAGCTCCTTGGATTTGTTGGTGGTCTCTATCCAAGTACTAACCCAGGTCTAATCTTACTTAGCTTCCAATATCAGAAGGCATGTGGTGCCTTTAGGGTATTTAGGCCTAGTAGCTAAAAGGAAACTTCTCCAGAAAAAAAAATACTATGTTGTTTTTAGGGTTACAAGAACATAAGGAAGACAACAACAAATGCACAGCTTGCAGCCTTCCTCTTTCTTTCAGGAGGGACAATCAATCAGTTTGAGTTTTCAGTTTCTGCCAAATAAACACATGGTCAAGATGACAGCTTGGCCTATGAGTTCTCCTTCAGATCAACCATCTGATCACACTAGTTACTGATAAACCGAGTCTAATAGCAGATTCCTGTGGAGTAAAAAAGACATAAAACCACCTTTCTCTTGCCAGATTACTCCCCAAATCTACCTAGCCCAGGATCTCATGATGCTCAGCCAGATGTAACTCTATGATACCCACAAGGAGATAACGCTACTAGTACTGCATAGCCCATGAGCCTACTAACTTTGAAGATATTGAGAGTTGGCAAAGAATGCCGCCCTTAAAACCTACTTTTTCCACAAACCCTTAGGTTTCTTTTTGTGCTGGAATGGATAGCATTTTGAAATCATTCTAATCATGGTTATATCAATGGAATCCTAGTATTTTTAATTTAAGGAGGTACTCTGAATTCATTTAGTTAATCTCTAAAAGTTTAAAAACACTTTGCTCATGTTCATCTCTTTATTTTTCTCCCCTTTACAACCTCTGTTGTCAGATGAAGCTTAAAGTTTTTCTTAACTGAGGAGTGAATATGGAATGTGAAGAATCAGTTTACACAAAAAACAAACAAACTATGAACACTTTGAGTTGCTATATCAGGAGAAAGGCAGGATGAAAATAAAGTAAGTTAGGAAGTAAATAATAAATAAAAGCAGACAAGCTAAGGGTCTTGAATGTGATTTAAAGCATGAAAGCACTACTAGCAACCTTCTTTTCTTGCCCCTTTCATAGGGCTTAAGGCTTATTTTAAGCACACACGCTCAGGGCCTCCAGTGCTTCATTTTTAAGAGTTTGTTTCCCACTCTTCACAAGCTGCTGCCCAGAGTGCAAAGTCAGAGAGATTTCCCATGCAAGACAGCTGCCCTCTGACCTGGCTGCAGTCCAGCAACAGGGCTATTAGGACGCCTTTACTACGTTCGCTGTTGTGCCACGACAAGGGATAATGGGTCGGCGGCCAATTCGGGGCACACTTACAACAAACAGAGCCTCCTGTCTCCAGCACACACAACACAACAGAGCTGTGTCTCACAATGGCAATGAATAGCCTTTCCACAGCACAAACCGGGACTCACTTTGAAGCCAAGAACTGCACAGGCACCCTCCTTTCAAAATGCACTGACAACCACGCAAAGAAGTATGCTCTCCTCTTCTTCCTTTCTTTACCTCTGGCCTTAATAATTATAATCTTTGGCACGTTTCCATTAACTGTATATGGACTTGAGATGTCTAAAGCTTTCCTTATTTCGCCACAGCAGATGAGAATGAATAATTTCAAATGTTTTCTCCATGCTAGATGAGATCATGAGCGCTCTGCACTATACTATTGTTTATTAATGCATAGAACAAAGGCCATTTTCATACAAACACATGAATCTATATAAATAAAAATGTAATGTTCGTTTGTGGGATTAACAGAACTCAAAAACCACTGGATGAATTGACACCAATTTTGGACACAAGACACCTAACAACCCAATGTATGTCCTTCACTCAAAAAATTGCTTTTCTCATTTGGGAGTTGCAGTTGCTGGGATTCATAGTTCACCTACAATCAAAGAGCATTCTGAACCCCACCAACGATGAAATTGAACCAAACTTCCCACACAGTTCTCCCATGACCAAGAGAAAATACTGGAAGGGTTTGGTGGGCAGTGTTCTTTGGTTTTGGAGTTGTAGTTCACCTACATCCAGAGAGCACTGTGGACTCAAACAATGATGGATCTGGACCAAACTCTACACGAATACTCCATATGCCCAAATGTTAACACTGGTAGAGTTTGGGGAAAATGGAATCTTGACATTTGGGAGTTGTAGTTGCTCGGATTTATAGTTCACCTACAATCACAGAGCATTCTGAACCCCACCAACGATAGAATTGGGCCAAACCTCCCTCACAGAACCCCCATGTGGGCCACAGCAACGCGTGGCAGGGGACAGCTAGTACAATATAAAAGTGCAACAAAATACAGCAATATAAAAGTACTATATAAAACACACATGTCAAATGCAAGGCCCACGGGCCAAATCCAACCTGTCA